GTTTGTAGGGCCCTCTCCACTTTCTTCTTTCCAGCTCCTGGTGGTTTTCCATGAAGTTTCCAGCATGTTTCCGTTGTGTGCCACAATTTTTTGCAGTGATCACACCAAGGTTTTTTCTTGTCATCACTTCTGGCCACTAAAGCTGAAGAGTCCCCAGGTTCCTCATTAGGTACTGGAGTGTTGTACATGACCCTCCTCCTGCTATCTTCCAACCTGATCTCAGAAAAGACCTCTCTGATTGAGGCCAAAGGTTTCTTTCCCAGTATTCTGCCTTTTACTTCATCTAGGTCCCTATTGATCCCTGCTAGAAACATATAGACCCTATCATTCTCTTCTCTTTTCTTATGTCTGGCCAGATTCTTAGCACTCTCCCACTCTTCATCACCATAGCACTGATCTAATTCTTGCCATAGAGATACCATTTCATTGTAGTATGAAATAATATCCCTATTTCCTTGTTTAGATTGCCACAATTTGGTTTTGAGTTCAAAAATTTGAGAAGAGTTCTCAAGATCTGAATAAGTTTCCTTAATAGAGTCCCATACCTCCTTTGCAGTTTTCATAAACATATGAGGTTTGGCAATTAAGGGCTTCATGGAGTTGAGAAGCCAAGCTGTTATGAGTGAATTCTCTGACCTCCATGTACTGTAACCTTCTTCTGCAGGTAGTTTTGGTTTGATTTCTCCTGTGATGTAACCTAGCTTTCCTCTCCCATCAATTGCAAGTCTGACAGATTGAGACCACTCCAGATAGTTTGTTCCATTCAATCTATGACTAGTGATTATCATAGATGAATGGATAGGAGACTTGTAATTTGTCATAGGGCTAATTTGGGAGTTAGGGTTGATAGTGTGTGAGGAATCAACATCACTGGTTTCTACCATTGTTTAAATCGAGGCTCTGATACCATGTAGGTTTGAAGAATTAATCTTCCTTGAATATTATTGAGCCATCCGACAATGATATATATACAAGTTACAGATAAAGCCTAGTTGTTACAGATCCTAAAATATAGGATCTATCTGTTCTGCGAGCTTATCTACTTAGTTAGAGAGTTCTATCTACTCTAAATCTTATCTATACAGTTCCGGATGTACAAATAATTAAAATAACAAATATATGTTACATTTTTCTACAATCAGCTTGAGCCTACTTGAATCCCTGTCTTTTTATATTCTGAGTGAACCTGTCAAACCTAGCCCTTGGAGATTGTTTAAGTCCATACAAGGCTCTCTCTAACTTGCACACCTTTGAGCCAAAACTACTCTCAAATACAAGAGGAGGGCTCATGTATAATTCTTCTTCAAGCTTCCCATTAAAAAAAACATTCTTCACATCTAACTGTAGAAGTGGACAATTTAGGTTAACAACTACAGATAAGAGGATTCTTATAGTATTCAACTTTGCAACTGGTGCAAAAGTCCGAGTGTAGTCTATGCCATTGGTCTGTGTATATCCTTTGGCTACCAATCTTGCCTTGTATCTCTCAAGAGTTCCATTGGCCTTGATCTTAGGAGTGAAGACCCATTTACATCCAACTGTTAGTTTGTCTTTGGAAGCTCTACAATCTTCCATGTCTGATTCCTTTCAAGTGCATCCATCTCTTCCGGAACAACTTTCTTCCACTTGGGTCTATATACAACTTCCTCTATGGTTGGTGGAATAGCAGTAGAGGATACACTAGAGGTAAAGGTTGCAAATGATGAGGACAATTTGAATAAGAAACATAATTTGAGATAAGATATTTGGCACATGATCTTTTTTTTTGAGAGCTATTGATAAGTCAAGGTTAGTGGAATTATTACCCTTTTCACTCACTGTCATCCGGTCAGATTCATGGACAGGTGCAAGATCAGAGACTTCCTCTATTCTTTGATTTAAAACTCTCCTCTCATAAACTTTGCCAAATAACTTACTTATCTGCTGCTCTTCTTTTTCTATTGTTTCAGCCATATTTATCAATTATCTCATTATTTGCTGATTCTTGACTATTTTCTGATGCACTTAAGTTTCTAGTATGATGCACATGTAGATTAATGTCAAGAAAATCAAAGTTTTCATGTGTATGTAACACTGTTAGCATCTTCAATTAAATTCTCCCCTGGAAGATGAGTATAAAAAAGGTTGATTTTCAACAAAATTAGTGTCCATTGTTACAAACATCTTTGTTGTTGAAGGATCAAAGCATTTATATCCTTTTTGTGTTGAAGAAATTTCTAAAAAAACACATTTTGTTCCTCTAAGATCAAATTTACTAGTTGTTTTGCCAGGATTTTTAATAAATACTGTGCAACCAAAAAATTTCAAAGGAAGAGAGCTAATGAACCTGTTTGTAGGAAAGCAGTCTTGAAGAGTGTTAATAGGAGTCTTAAATCCTAGAGTCTGTGATGGCATTCAATTAATTAGATAGGTAACATGTGAAACATCATCTCCTCATAGATATTTTGGAATTTTAGTTGAAAACATGATTGCACGAGTTACTTCAAGTGAATGCCTATTTTTCCTCTCAGCATTCAGCAATTCCATTTTGAGCAGGTGTATTCATGCAAGAACTTTGATAAAAAATTCCCTTTTCAGCAAAAAAATTGTTTAAATTTTGAGAAAAATATTCACGACCATTATCACTTCTTACCATTTTAATGTTGGTATTGAATTGAGTTTGTACCATTGGATAAAATTTCCGTAACACATTTTCTACTTCAGACTTTTCCTTAAGCAAAAATACCCAAGTTACCCGTGTATCATCATCTATGATTGTTACAAATCATGTCTTTCCTTTTAAAGTAAATACTCTAGATGCACCCCAAATATCAGTATGCACAAGAGTAAAAGGACTAGTAGGTTTGTAATTATGAGGGACATAAGGTTTTGATATCACAATGAAGTAATGAAGGGTCTTTATTATTAAATAACTTAGGAAACGATTTTTTTAAATAATAAAAACTAGGATGCCCTAGTCTATAGTGTAGCAAATACAACTCATTATCACTGGAAAAAGAAACAGTTTGCAGACAAGCATTTCTTTGATCTCTTTTATTTGATTCAGTCCCTTCTTCAAAGACGTAGAGTACATGTTCCTCCCTAGCACTGCCAATCATTTTTCCCGATGCCAAGTCCTGAAAAATGCAAGAAAAGGGTAAAATTTAGCACAACATTGAAGATCTTTGGTTAACTTGCTAATAGAGGCTAGGTTACAGGATTATCTCTATAAATTAGGATTTAACCAACCACTGAGAATTATCTAATAATTAACAATTAATAACAGGTAATTATCTCTGACTAACTACTAATCTTCCAGAATACACGTTTACAGTTTTCTACACGCGATTCGTGAGGAGAGATTTGAAGTTAGCACAAGCTGCTGAACTCAGCTCATATTCCTCGTCATTTCTACCATTAAGTTTTGTTTTCAGTTATATCCTTCTATTTTTTTCCAAATAGTTTGAGACTTCAATGTCTCTTAAACGAAGTTTGTCAAAAAACAGAACAAGAAGCATTGCTAGTAGTCCTAACTTATCCTAGGTGTGACATGAAAACCAGTAAAAGTAGGAACACAAGAACTCATGTAATGAAAGGAGCTTTGAGGTAGGTAGTGTTCAGGGAAAAAACATACGAGCTACATATAACTGGAATTGTGATACAAACCTGGTGTGCACGTCACTTTCTCAGAAAGTCACTTATCTCAGGAGGCATAGCCTGAAAAAGCTTCAGCAGGCACTGTATGAGAGTATCAAGGTACAAGCACGGTGGTAGAGGCTAACACGAGATCCAACCATGGGAAGAGGATGAGCCGAAGAAACAACCCTAGGGAAATAATTATCATCTTGGAAGAAGAATGTAATCTAGTTTTGAAGTGATCAAACTAGGCTTATCAATCTTGTGATTAGACATGACTATAACAAGGACAAAATTTTAAAATACCCCTAAAAAAGATTTGTATTATCAAATACACTTAATTTTTTTGATATTTTGAGGGTATTCTTAAAAATAGAAACTTTTTATCCCATTCAATTCGTACCTTTTATTCAACCTGTATGATCAAAGAGGCCAAATTGTTCGACCACTCTGGTTGAACCTGGTTAAATGCGGTCAAACCTGGTGAACATGTTCGAACCTGGGTGAACTTGGTCAAACAGGATAAACATGGCACGCTGTCGTTCGAGGTTGAGAACTGGTTGGCTCCATCGCCGCATCCCTCCTGTCGGCCTCCATGGAAGGCGTCATCATCAGAACTGGTCGCCAGCTTTCCTGCAGCTTCTGGTTAACACCTTCGTCGTCGACATCTTCATTGGGGACTTCTTTCTTCTTTTGGTAGCTAGCTTCATCTTTGACAACTTATGGCCGACAACTTCATGGTCGCCAACTTCTTTCATCTTCTGGTCGCCAACGTATTGAGAGTGCACGAGGAAGTAGACTTTAGATCTTAAATCTCGAGGGGTTTTAAGTAATTTCATACAATTCTATTATTTGAAGAAGAAAAAGGGACAATTTGATAATGGAGCATGCTTTTGGGGAATGACTTATGGTAATGACTTTTGGAGTTTCATATTACTATTTGTTCTTGAGAAGGTTGTTCATGAAGGGCATACGATGTTACTTTGTCGCTGTGCTTTTTGAATTGATTTATAGTCTCAACTCTTAACTAATTTAATAAAGTAATACTATATTGTATGCCATATGCCCCGTTATAATTGGAATTAAGGTGGTGGTGATGATGATTAGTCATGTCCAATGGAAACAAGAATGGATTGGTGTCATTAATCTCATTGCCACTTGTTCTTATGATATGCGAGTGAAGCTTGAGCTTGGTAGCTCAAGAAAGCACTTTAAAACGTGTTTATAAATCGAAGCCTCCCATTTTTTTTCTATAGATTATTCTTTCAAAGATAAAATAGCTTCAAGATATTTTGTAGATGCCACCGTCATCATTATTATAGGGAGATTATTATGTGCTGAACTATCATTGTGCTTTATTAACTTCATCCTTGTTGTTTTCACAGGCGGTACATGGCGTACAATCTTACTCCAGTAGCTGGAGTTGCAGCATTGATATCACAAAATGGAAAGCCTAGTGATACCCGTTTGCTTAGTAGTATCATGTCCCCGCTTCCTCTATCTGGAGGTGTAAACATGCCTGTCACTATTATCGGATATTTCCTTGTATGTCACAACCGGGGCCGTTTCCTTTTCCAGTGCCAAGACGAGGAAGCCTCCGCTGGGACAAGGCTTGGTGCTGGGTATCAGTTGATTGAAGACTGGAATCAAGAGCTGATGTGCTGCGTTCGTGATGCTTATATAAAATTGATCCAAGAAATGCAGAAGTTAAGAAGAGAGCCATCAACTTCGACCCTTGAGTCAAGTTTGATCCGTGTTGCAAGTACGACTTTGAATGCTTATGGAGATGAAATATACTCTTTCTGGCCTAGGTCTTTTGAGAACAAACTGATTAATCTAGAAATAGATATGAATGATTCTTGGCCTGTGAAAGCCTTTAAGGCAGATTGGAGTTGCATAAAAAAACAGGTTATAAAGCCGTTTTATGCTAGCATGATTGAGCTGCCTGTCTGGAGACTTTACTCAGGAAATCTGGTCTGTGCTAAAGAGGGTATGTTTCTTTCTCAACCTGAAAGTGGAGCGGAAGGTTGCTTGCTTCCTGTTACTGTTTGTGCCTTTGTGAAAGAACATTATCCTGTCTTCTCAGTCCCATGGGAATTGATGACTGAAATTCAGGCGTTAGGTGTTATAGTGAGGGAAATTAAACCAAAAATGGTGCGTGACCTTCTTCGAGCTTCCTCAACCTCTATTGTTCTTCAGTCAGTTGATACTTATATCGATGTTCTTGAGTATTGCTTATCTGATATCATTGTTCTTGAACCTTGCCCATCAAATGCCACTGTTGGGTTGAGTGGAATGAACAGCTCTGATTGCTCTGCTTCTCCTCCTACCATTCGAGGATCAAGCGTACAGAGGCAACAGATTGATAGTATTACCCCAACTTCAAGCAGTTCTGGAGGAGAAGCCCTTGAAATGATGACAAACTTGGGAAAGGCTATATTTGGTTTTGGCCGTGTTTTAGTTGAAGATATTGGAAGAACAGATGGCAATCTGTATCAAAGAAGTAATCTCACAGGAAGCCTTAATTGTAGGAGTGAAGACAACCAGAAAGTATTGTCTGTAGCTGCAGAAATCAGAGGCTTACCCTGTCCAACTGGAACAAATCATCTGACCAGATTAGGGGCTACTGAAATATGGGTAGGAAACAAGGAGCAACAGTCACTGATGCTTTCTTTGGCAGCAAATTTTATTCATCATAAAGTTTTGGAGAGATCAACCTTGGTAAATATTTTTTCCAACAGATCTGTTCAACCACTTTTGAAAATGCAAAGCTTTTCACCTTCACTGTTGGCTAATAACATCAAATTCATTTTTCATGAAAACTGGGTTAGTCATGTAACCGAATCCAAAATGGCTCCGTGGTTTTCATGGGAGAAAGCTGCTAATTCTTATAGTGAATGGGGTCCTTCTCCTCATTGGATTAGGCTTCTTTGGAAGACGTTTGATTCATTAGATAACCATTCTCTTTTCTCTGAGTGGCCCCTTGTTCCTGCCATTCTTGGTCGCCCAGTTCTATGCCGTGTAAGGGAGCGTCATCTTCTGTTCATTCCACCCCTTGATATCCTTGCAAGTACTAAATTCAGAGAAATGGGGGATGCAGAAAGAGACTTGCCCGGATTATCTTCTGAATCTGATTTGATTCACTCCTACAAGTTATCTTTTGAAGTTCTAGAGGAAAAGTACCCTTGGTTGTTATCGTTGCTTAATCAGTTCAATGTACCAATATTTGATGTTGCCTTTATGGATTGCGCCGCTGCTTGCCAATGTTTACCCGTGGATGGACAATCTTTAGGGCAAATCATAGCTTCTAGGCTTGCTGCAGCTAAAAAGGCCTGCTATTTTACTCACCCCACGTCCTTGTCGGATTCTGACTGTGATGAGCTTTTTAGACTATTTGCTTCTGATTTCTCTTCTAAAGGATCTGGATATGGAAGAGAGGAACTAGAGGTATTACGTGATCTTCCTATTTACAAGACAGTTACGGGATCATATACTAGATTGCAGGGACATGATTTGTGTGTGGTTGCTTCTAATACTTTTCTCAAGCCATATGATGAACGCTGTCTAACACACTCTGTAGATTCTAGTGACACTCGTTTACTTAGAGGTCTTGGCATCCCTGAGATGCATGATCGACAAATTTTGGTAAAATTTGGGTTGCCCGAGTTTAACATGAAGAGTAAGTCTGAGCAGGAGGACATTTTGATTTATCTTTGCATGAATTGGCAGGATATAGAAAAAGATTCATCAATTATTGAAGCTCTTAAAGAAGCACATTTTGTTAGAAGTGCTGATGAGACATCATTACAACTGTTCAAACCCCAAGATCTTTTTGATCCTGGCGATGCTCTTTTAGCATCAGTGTTTTCCGGTGTTGGAAGGAAATTTCCTGGAGAAAGGTTCATATCTGATGAATGGTTACAAATTTTAAGGAAAGTTGGACTTCGATCTTCGGCTGATGCTGACAGTGTGCTTGAATGTGCCAAGAGAATTGAATTACTTGGAAGACAATGTGTGAAAAAGACACTGGATGAGTCTAAAAGTGAATTGTTCAGCATGGTGGATGAGGTATCCTCCGAGATTTGGTTGTTAGCTGAAAGTTTGGTAAAATTTACTATTTCAAACTTTGCGGTGCTATACAGTAGCCACTTTTGCAAGCTTCTTGGACAGATCGTCTTTGTTCCTGCTGAAAAGGGCCTCACAGATATTGGTGCTAAAGAATGTAGTAAAAGAGTACTGTGCTCATATAATAATGCTCTTTTATTGAAGGATTGGCCACTTGCTTGGAGTTGTATACCGATCCTTTCTAGAAACAATGCTGTTCCACCTGAGTACTCTTGGGGAGCACTCAGTTTGAGGAGTCCTCCATCATTTTCATCTGTTTTGATGCACCTTCAGGTCAGCTTCTTTTCTAGGAGTTGTGAATTCCTGTGATAACCATATGAACAACTAGAAATATGTGCAACAGATCATTGGAAGAAATGGCGGTGAAGACATACTCTCCCACTGGCCAACTGCGTCTGGTTCGAAGACTATTGATGAAGCTTCTATTGAAGTATTGGAGTATCTACAAAATGTCTGGGGCACCCTCTCTTCGTCAGGTTAAATTGTTGTAGTCGTGTTGTTTCTCTGTGCACATTTGACTGGGAAGACTTCTGTTTTGTGCATGTTGAAAAGAAATTGTATTTGTGACAGCTAAAAGTTGAAGTAGTGAGTCTTGGAGACCTAGAAGTAACGAGACACTCAGAAAGTAATATATTAGTCATATAATCATGTTCTGTACTGCCAGAAGCTAGAGCATGCAAATCTTACACTATAACACATTTGATAGATTATTAAACTATTGGTTCTTAAAGAAATGAATCTGTCAGTACATTATCACCACATAGAAGGATCATATAATATCTTAAGAAACAAAATCCTTAGGAGATAACATCATATCAATCTCTAAAATCTTTTAGTGAAGATTAGGCTGGAATTTAAATACAATTTTCTTGTTTCTTGTTATAAAGAAGATAAGAGTAAATAATACTTGCGTCAATCTATATATCTACAATAATAAATGTTCATAACAAGAGACCCATATGAATGGTTTAATATAAAACACAGTGAGCTGCCCTTCAATGCACTATACACAAGATACAATTGTTGAATATAGTGGACCTTGCCCATGTTGTATATCTTTTGTACTCCACACTATAAATTGGAGCAAGCGATGAGACTTGAAATTTCCAAAAACATAGTTTTTGGCTAAACTCTTTTCTTTATGATAAATAATATTTTCTTGGCTAAGTATCTCCATTGACTCTTAAGTGGATGGTTAGACCAAATGACACCACTAAAAGATCGAGACCCTTCCCATGATGGTTCCCCAAAGTCCGTATTGAGTGCCTCCCACGTGTGCTCACTTTCCACGGCTCAATCCGTAGTCTCAAAAGTAATTATATCAACTTTTGCTAACCATTATTGTGTGCTCACTTTGACAACTTTGATGGAGAAAATTCTATTCATCTTCATGGCAATCCATCAGACATATAGCTTCTATTATAATTCCACATTGGAAAATTAAAGAGAGAATGATAGATTCATTGCGACCTTGGAGCGAACTATTAACACATTTACACATCGAGTTCAGTGTTTTACGGAGTGATAACACCCAAGATTTCTTCTCAGCACCATATAATCAATTCATGAATTCTCAAGGGATGCTCCACTAGCCTTCTTGTGTTCACATTGACACACCACAATAAAATGGTGTTGTTGAACCTAAGAATCTTCATTTGGTTGATACCTCTCCATTCAGGAATTACATTCTCATACACAATCTCAGTATTGGGTTGATGCTATTCTCACATCGTGTCACCTAACCAACAGAATGCCTTCATCAGTAACGATGTCCCTTATTCTATCTTATTCTCTTTATATGAATTATTTCCTTTATCACCCCCTGTTTTCGGATGTTTTTAGGTCAATCAAATGCATTTTTGGGTATTCACGCTTTCAATAGGGATATCGTTGTTTCTCTCAAACACTAAGGAAACACTTTATTTCCGTTGATGTCACCTTCATTGAGTCTCCACTTTATTACCCAACTCCTATAGGTCCATCCACGTGACCCAGCTTTGAATTAAATTTCACACCCATCACCAGTGCAATATACCCATGCTAGCACTATCAATGAGGCTACTGATGTCATGCTCGTTGATTCCCCTACTAGGAGTCCCACTTCCATGCAATTTGCTACCCCATAGCCATATTTCACTCTTAATGATATGCCCATTGCCCTCTGGAAAGGTATATGCTCTACTTTAAATCTTCATCCCATGCATAATTGTCTCAACTATCATCGTCATTCCACCCCTTACTATGCATTTATTTCACACCTATCTCATGTGCATATTCCTAAAACCACCCGTGTGGCACTGTCACATCTGGAGTGGCATTGATCGTCTCATGGTTAGCACCTCTATTGGACATTATAAATGTTCTTGCATGGTGACCTTTAGGAGGAAGTTTATATCAAGCAACTTTCGGGATCTGTTGCTTGAGGGGAGTATAAGAAAGTTTGTTGACTTCACAAGTCGCACTATGATCTGAAACAAAGTTCACGTGCATGGTTTGGGAAATTCAGTCAATCAATCCTGACGGCCATACTCGGCGGCACTTCACTCAGCGGTACTTCACTCAGCCGATCCGCCGGTCAGAACTCTCCACTGGTAGCCACTTTTTGGCGCGTCAACAATCGGCTCTGATACCATTTTTAGGAACTTAAGCACCTTGGAGAGCCACACCCCAAAAGCTAGCTGTTAAAGTGGAAGAACCAGACACTTAAGAATCCCACCAAGCATTCCATTCTATTTAGTGTGGGACTTTTGGTATCGCATACTACCTAGGTCCCTAACAATTTTTAAAATTATCAGAGTTGGGCTTGTGCTTGGGCTTGGACAGTTGAGTTGTGGGTTATTAATTGATGAAAAAAAGATGTATATTACGTGGTGATGGAATACAACAATATGATCCTATATATACACACATACCAAGGAAAGGGAACAGACAAAGATGGGTAGATTAGGAAAACGTAAAATCTGGGTTCAAACACTTCCTCAAGCTGGAACAAATAAGTCATAAGCTTATATGCACCAAGCTTGTTACAAAATATTCTTGTGATCTGGCAGTCATGCTCCCCTCGGATCCCTGATTTTTTTAGCAGAAGAGATAGGTATGGTTATGAGTCTTGCAAGTAAGCATCAAGTTTAAGTGCAAATGTATGTTTTATGCTTTCGTTTTCATATTCTTCCAATTATAACTTGAAATTAAATTTGAAGTATCTAACTCAATCCAAAGTTCAAGCCCAAGTAACTTAAAAGTTGAATTCCTTTTCACATTAAAGCTCAACTTTAAGATGAGGCAAAGCAAATTTCAAGTTCACTTTCAGGTTCAGAGTAGCTCAAGTTTCAGGCCTCAAGACTAGAAAGTTAAAAGTCAAGTTTGTTATATAAAGGATTTGTTAAGAATGTACGCAACTTGCTTGAATTATACCATGCTCCAGCTGAGGGGTTGTTGAATGTATTTCACAATGAGAAGATGCACTCATGCACCCAAGTCCCAACACAACCTATACCACACCAACATACAATCAGAACAACCTTAACTTATTTCTAGGCTTGTTGTTCTCCCTAAAAATCTGTGTACATATTTAGGCTATGGACTCTTCATAAACCAAAAGCATTTGTGTAAATTATGTTTAAGGAGTTGCGGAATCAACATGAATGAACTAAAATTATCATTCACATATGTCATGTAATAATTTAAATAATTAAAATCTCTCATTTTTCATTCCACGTTTTGTTGACTTTGGAAGTTTTGTCATTTGATATAATTAATTTCTTTTCTTTGTTAGTTTATTTTGTTCTGTATATTGTTGCTGCGCTATGGTGGTTATTTTAAAAAATTCTCTTTTGGCCGACCATAACTTATTCTCTCTTTTTGTAAAATGCTAGACTTAAAGGCTCTGTGCCAAGTTGCTTTCATTCCAGCTGCAAACGGGACACGTTTGGTGATGGCAAGCTCACTTTTTGCACGTCTGACTGTGAATCTCTCCCCATTTGCATTTGAACTTCCTGCTGTCTACCTATCTTTTGTCAATATTCTTAGAGATTTGGGCCTTCATGATACACTTTCTGTCAACACAGCAAAAAATCTTCTGTCAAGTCTTCAAAAAGCATGTGGTTACCAACGGCTCAATCCTAATGAATTTCGTGCAGTACTGGAAGCTGTGGATTTCATTTGTGATGAAAGAAATTGTGCTGCAGCAACTAGCTGGGATTCTGATGCAATAGTCCCAGATGACAGTTGCAGGCTCATTCATGCAAAGTCATGTGTTTATATTGATTCTTATGGTTCATATTATTTGAAATATATCGATACTTCAAGGCTAAGATTTGTTCACCAAGATCTTCCGGAGAGAATATGTATCGCCTTGGGTATTAAAAAGCTTTCCAATGTTGTCATTGAGGTATCATGTATGATTACAAATTTCTTCTTCAGCACTTACAGTTCTACTTAATTCTATAGGCTGATGCAGTCATGCACAAACACATGCATATGCTAATGCTCCCAAAAGGTGCATGCATGTGTCTCTTGAATGCCCATTGAAATGATTCACTATAACACCACTTTATTATGCTTCTCTGTTGGCATGGCATCTAATAAAAGAAACTTTTAGGAACTGGATGGCATGGAACATTTTCAAAGACTGGACTATATTCATTCGGTCCCAGTTTCATTCATCAAACAGAAGTTATTAAGTAAATCCTTTCAAGCTGCTGTATGGAGTGTTGTTAGAAGTATATCCTGTAATACTCAAGGATTTGGTAGTACAGTCATGGAGGATATGAAAAGGCCATTGGAGTCAATTGCTGACAAGATACATTTCGTTCAGCGCTTGTATACTCGCTTTGTGCTGCTCCCAAAGTGTGTGGATATTACTAAAGCCAGGGAGGACTCTATTTTCCCAGAGTGGAAGGATAATCGTCACAGGGCTCTGTGCTTTGTTGATCAATCTAAAACCTGTGTTTTAATTGCTGAACCACCAGAGTATGTATCGTTCCCTGATATTGCTGCGATCATTGTAAGCAGAATATTGGACTGCCCATTCCCACTCCCTATTGCTTCTCTATTTCTTTGTCCCGAGGGTTCAGAGATTGCAATGGTTGATGCATTGAATCTTTGTGGTCAAATGAGTGCAAACGGGGCTGGAGGTAGTAAAGATGATTTGCTGGGCAAAGAAATACTCCCGCAAGATGCTCTCCATGTGCAATTTCACCCATTAAGACCTTTTTACGCTGGAGAAATAATTGCTTGGCGATCAGGAAGTGGAGAAAAGTTGAAGTACGGTAGAGTTCCAGAGGATGTGAGACCACCAGCAGGGCAAGCTATCTACAGGTTCAAGGTTGAAACACTGACAGGGGTGGGACAATCTATTCTTTCTTCAAACGTCTTCTCATTCAGATGTGTTACCGTCGCTAGTGAGGCTTCTGCTTTAGCAGACCACAAGCCCACCACTGTAAGCATTAATGCTGAAAGTTCTGAAACAGTCAAATTGAGGTTTCCTCAGGTTAGTTACTTGTCATCTTGTGATCATTTGTTAACATCATTGTCGGTGAGGTGATTTGATACAAATACTTTTACAAAACTTATTGTAATGTAATACGTAGTATATGTTTATTTTTATTATATATTTATCCCCAAATTATTACTCCCTCCGTCCCACAAAACTTGGCCAACTTTGACTTGCACGTGGAATAATAAAGTAAAAACTGTGTGATTCAGATTTGTGCAGAAGAGGGAGAAATATATTTAACCACATATTTCTGACTTTAAATGGATTTGGCAAACTTTTTTGGAATGGCTAAAACAAGGAAATTTGGTAAAGTTTTGTGGGACGGAGGGAGTAGTATATTCTCACCTGGTTAGGTGGCAGTACCAATTAGATGGGTCAGAAACATGATTAAAGAAGGACATATTTCTCAACTTTCCTGGATTATAGTTGAGTTATGGGAGAAAAAAAGTTTGATGGCTCGGAAGGCCAACGATATGGTTTATCTGGTTACAAAGTTAAATATTTTTTTACTGTAAATAAAAGTAAATAGAATGTTATCAAAAATGTGTTATGCTGGTTATAAAACAAAAGGAAAATCTCAGCTACAAGTTAGACTCGATGTAGTAGCAACAAAATCCAAATCGTAATCTCAAAAGAGTATGTTGTCGGTTATCATGAGCCAACATATGATATCGGATTTAAAAACAATAAATAAAGCTTAGACTCTACATTCTATAGAGCAAGTTAATTTTCCTATGGTATGATATCTAGTTGTGTAAGTTTTAGGAATAAAACTTCCTTGAATATTATTGAGCCATCCGGCAATGATATATATACAAGTTACAGATAAAGTCAAGTTGTTACAGATCCTAAAAAATAGGATCTATCTATTCTATCTATTCTGTGAGCTTATCTACTAATTAGAGAGTTCTATCTACTCTAATTCTTATCTATACAGTCCCGGATGTACAAGTAATTAAAATAACAAGTATATGTTACATTTTTCTACACTCCCCCTCAAGTTGGTAAGTATATATCATACATTCCCAACTTGCTTATAAGTAGCTCAAATATAAGGTCTAAATAACCCTTTGGTGAAGATATCAGCTGTTTGATCTTTAGTGGATACAAATGGTGTGCAAATGATTTCAGCTTCAATCTTCTCCTTAGTGAAATGTCTGTCCACTTCAATATGCTTAGTTCTATCATGTAGCACAGGGTTATGAGCAATGCTTATAACAGCTTTATTATCACAATATAACTTCATAGGCAGCTCAATCTCCATCTTTAGTTCTGTGATTACTCGTTTGATCCAGAGTAACTCACATATTCCATTAGCCATAGCTCTGAATTCTGATTCTGCACTACTTCTAGCAACCACATTTTGTTTCTTACTTCTCCAGGTTACTAGATTTCCCCATACATAGGCGCAGTATCCAGAAGTAGATCTCCTATCAGATATTGAGCCAGCATAATCTGCATCAGTAAAAGCTTCAATTTTCCTATTGTTTCCCTTCTTGAAAAACGATCCTTTCCCTGGACAGCTCTTCAGGTATCTCAGAATCCTGTAAGTAGCATCAAGATGTTCTTGGAAAGGATGATGCATAAACTGACTTACCATGCTTACTGCAAATGCAATATTTGGTCTTGTGTGTGCCAGATATATTAATTTTCCTACCAATCTTTGATATTGGTGAATATCAACTGGATTTGCCTCCTTGATATCTCCCAATTTCTGACTTGCCTCCATAGTAACAACCATTGTTTTGGTTGTAGGATCAAAACATTTATACCCTTTTTGAGTGGCAGAAACACCTAGAAAAACACATTTTTTTCCTCTAGGATCAAACTTACTTGCAGATCTATCTGGATTTTTGATAAACACTGTGCAACCAAATTTTTTTAAAGGAAGGGTGTTTACCAATCTATTTGTAGGAAAGAAGTGTTGTAGTGAACTAATAGGACTTTTAAATCCTAAAGTTTTGGATGACATGCGATTAATTAAATAAGTTGCATGCAACACTACTTCTCCCCACAAATATTTTGGTATGTTTGTTGAAAACATGATTGCACGAGTGACTTCAAGTAAATGTCTATTTTTCCTTTCTGCAAGTCCATTTTGAGCTGGTGTATTGACACAAGAGCTTTGATGAATAATGCCCTTTTCAGTAAAAAAGTTGTTTAAAGTTTGAGAAAAATATTCACGGCCATTATCACTTCTTACCATTTTAATTTTGGTATTGAATTGAGTTTGGACCATAGCATAAAATGTTCTAAATATTTTCTCAACTTCAGATTTTTCTTTGATTAAAAATACCCATGTGACACGAGTATGATCATCAATAATAGTTACAAACCATCTCTTTCCCTTTAAAGTTGGTATTCTAGATGGACCCCAAATGTCACTATGTACCAAGGTAAAAGGGCTAGTAGGTTTATAACTGTGGGGTAAATAAGTGTTTCTGTGATCTTTTTTAAATAATAGAAACTAGGATGTCCTAGTCTATAATGAAGTAAATACAACTCTTTATTATTTGAAAAAGAAACAGTTTGCAAACAAGCATTTCTTAGACCTCTTTTATTAGATTGAGTTTCTCCATCAAAGATATAGAGTCCATCCTCCTCCTTAGCACTGCCAATCATCTTCCCCGATGCTAGGTCCTGAAAAATGCAATAAGAAGGATAAAAAATGACACAACATTGTAGATCTTTAGTTATTTTACTAATTGAAGTAAGATTGCAGGATAGATTAGGGACATAAAGGACTTTGGATAGATTCAGTGATGAGGAAATACTAATATTTCCCATCCCTGCAATGGTTGATAGAGAACCATCTGCAACCTTAACCTTTTTATCTCCTGCACTAGGTTTATATGAAGAAAAAAGATTTGAAATAGAAGTCATGTGATCAGTAGCCCCTGAGTCAATAATCCATGTATTTTTAGATTTCCCAGAACAAAAAAATGATGAATAGATACCATTTTGGGCATAAGAGCAAGAGGAAGATTCTGGTTTGGATTCTTTCTGTGAATTTTGGGTTTTCTGGGAATTAAGGAAGTTAAGAAGTTGCCCTATCTGCTCTTGAGTGAATGAAAGCTGATTGAACTTGACTTGTGGTTCTTGTTGAGTCTCAGTCACAGTTGTTTGTAGGGCCTTTTCAGTTTTTTTCTTTCCTGCCCCTGGTGGTTTGCCATGAATTTTCCAACAAGTCTCCCTAGTGTGCCATAATTTCTTGCAATGATCACACCAGGGTTTTTTCTTGTCATCACTCCTAGCCACCATTGCTGAAGAGTTCCCAGATTCCTCATTATGTACTGGAATGCTGTACATAACCTTCTTCCTGCTATCCTCCATCCTGATTTCAGAAAATACCTCCCTGATAGAGGGTAGAGGTTTTTTTCCAAGTATCCTCCCCTTAACTTCATCTAGATCTCTATTAATTCCTGCTAGGAACATGTAAACCCTATCATTTTCCTCCCTTTTTTTGTGTCTTGCTAGATCCTTGGCACTCTCCCACTTCTCATCATCATGGCACTGATCCAACTCTTGCCATATGGATACCATCTCATTGTAGTAAGAGATGATATCTCTATTGCCTTGTTTGGACTGCCACAACTTTGTTTTTAATTCAAAAATCTGAGAAGAGTTCTCAAGATCTGAGTAAGTTTCCTTAATGGAATTGCATACCTCCTTTGCGGTTTTCATGAACATGTGAGGTTTGGCAATTGATGCATCCATTGAACTTAGAAGCCATGCTGTCACCAAGGAATTTTCTGACCTCCAGACACTGTAGCCATCATCACCAGTTTGTTTCTCCTCTATTTCACCAGTTATGTACCCTAGCTTGCCCCTTCCATCAATAGCCAGCTTGACAGACTGTGACCACTCGAGATAATTTGTGCCATTCAATCTATGGCCAGTAATGAGCATAGATGAATGGACTGAGTTCTGGTAGTTTGTCATTGAGCTATTTGGAGAGTTAGGGTTATGGGTTTGTGAGTAAGAAGAAGAGTCAGATTGTGCGGTTTCCACCATTGTGGTGTTTAAACAACCTGCTCTGATACCATTTAAGTTTTAGGAATAAAACTTCCTTGAATATTATTGAGCCATCCGGCAATGATATATATACAAGTTACAGATAAAGTCAAGTTGTTACAGATCCTAAAAAATAGGATCTATCTATTCTATCTATTCTGTGAGCTTATCTACTAATTAGAGAGTTCTATCTACTCTAATTCTTATCTATACAGTCCCGGATGTACAAGTAATTAAAATAACAAGTATATGTTACATTTTTCTACAAGTTGCAATGCTAAAATTAGTTAACATTATAATGTCATGTGAAAAAGCATAGTCAATGCTTTATGCGAGATGTGCCCTTCTTGTTGATCTTGCGAATAAAGTGAAATGGGACATTGAGATGAAATTCTGAAACTACTACAATATATTCACAGGTAATTGTTACGTACTGGGGAATTTCAAGAGACAGTGATGAACTAATAATATTGAATATTGGAAAATGAGGAGGCTAAGGAGGGATGGTGTTAGTAGGCCATCGCTTGCTAGATAATGGAAATTATATATGAAAACTGGGATTTATATTTCTTGATAGTGAGAAAGGAACTATGGTTGCAAATATTTAGGAGAGTAAAGTTAGTTAAGTAAATCTTTTAAGTTTCAATGTTCCAGCCTAGAAGGCAGCCCCAATCATTTAGCTGGCCCAATCAGCCGCTTTTAGTGCGCTCGAGTACCACCCTATGCGTGAGCCTTTTGGACCACCTTCGGTGGATGACGTCGCTGGTAAGTACAGCCCACGAAGGCGTCCACATCAGTTCACTATCAACTATGCCTTGGCCATCCAGATCCTGCACATACACAATGGTTTTAAAATTATAGGACTCAGATCCAGTAAAAGCGGAGGGAAAAACCATAAATACATAGATCGTTAAACTGGACACGATCTGCGTATCGATCGTTCCATACCCAATCGTGGTAAGAAAGTGATCCGATCGCTACCTGGAACGCTATACGGACATACGGTACAGTCTTCCGGTCAATCCCAATCGCTATTTGAAACCATCTCAATCGCTATTTGAACTTGAATGCAGTCATATATGTTCCTGTGACACCAATTAGAATCATCAAAAAATATTTATAGAATATTTTGTAGTGTGAAATTTATAAAGCAGCTTGCAGTTCCTTTCATTTCGATTTTAGTCTCTACATATATGATCTATATGTTTTATGTTCTCAAATTAGATCTGATAAAAAGAAAGATTGTTTCTGATTGGTGCAGGGGAAACAAAACCAGGTACAGGAATTACAACAAGGCCATGTTTCTGCTGAAGAATTAGTCCAGGCAATTCGTGAGATGCTTTCAGCTGCAGGGATAGATATGGATGTTGAAAAGCAATCACTACTACAATCTACGATCTCACTGCAAGGACAACTAAAGGAGTCTCAAGCAGCTTTTCTGCTTGAACAGGTGGGCAGATAAAACTATTATGCAATTAATATATCTTTAGTGAAAATGGTAAACTAACCTAAGTTCAAATTTAGATGATCTAATCTAGTTATTGAATAATACACCCTTTTGTCACATAGTTAGGGTTCCCAATGGACTTTTTTTCATAGCACTTTAAAGCAATGAGGTTAGCTTAAATTTTAAGTTGGAAAAAGTTGGACTTGCTCATCATGGCGTGCTGATAGTACAACACTATTTGCGACGTTAAATCCGGAGAGCAGACATGGGTAACTTATATCGCGATTATCGCTCAGATCCGCTGATTTCATTGGCAAAGCAGATAGGCGACCCGCGACCCAAATGTGACCCAAGTCTCAAGTCAGTAATGTCTTTGAGTAAAACAACTTGTGCTGATCAGTTTGGCAAGGGATGCAGAGAATTTGATAGAATAACTCCAGAAAACACAACAATTACAGAGAAAATGTAGAATAGAACCAAGCAAACTATCAAGCTTTATTAACGATGAACAGTATCAATGGCCGAAGCCCCCAAAAGAAAGAGATGACTAATCTCTAACTTTCCCAGTCCAGTCTACAACAGTCAAACAGCCTACTAAACCAACTCCCCTTTCCGTCTATTTATACTCCATATTCATTTATTATTATTATTATTATTATTATTATTTCTATTTATTAGTCTAATGACCTGATTCCTATCAATACTCCCCCCCCTAAACATCCACCTTGCCCTCAAGGTGGGTGATAGGAAACAGCCAAAATCTTCTGCTTCCTCTTCCTTGTTCCTCTTCCTTCCCAATATCTAACTGGTTGATGGACTAGGGACTTCAGTACTGGATCTTTTAAAATCACAGAACTTTCAGCATCAGAAAGTGAATCTTCATTTGGTTCAATCACCTTCCTATACTCCATATCAAAGATTATTTCTTCACTTTTCTGCAGCTCCTCATGATTTCTATGTTCTGAAATTAATACTGTACTGAATGCAAACTCCTTGCTGTACCTTTCAACTTGTTCCTCTTTTAATTCTTTACTTATCTCATTTGAGAAGGAAGGCCTTAAAGGCTTTAACAAGCAATTAAGGAAAAACAATATTCCAGCTGTAGCTCTCCTAACTAAGGAACAAGAAAGACCATCTCCCATGTAAAACTTTCAAAGTTGGTCTTCTGGCAGGTAAGCAATTCCATCACCGGAAAAAATTATTGCCATTTTCAAATCTTGTTTCACTTTCACCTTTTCAAAGTTGGTCTTCTGGCAGGTAATCTTGCTTCAATATATTGTTCCTCAACGTTTCCCACTGTCTTCTTATTTAAGGAATCTGTAATTCTGAGCTCTCCTGTCAATAGGCCATCCCAATGTATGCTAGCAAAAGAGACGGATGCACCACACTTCTCTTTGCATACAACAGTCCCATTGATATTCTCTTGCATCAGATTAATGGTAGTCCCTAGAATGTACTTTCTAATTGCAATATCAGCATGAATATGGAAAAATAAAAAATCTGGAAAATTCTCAGGGCTTGCTGCAATTGCATATAAACTGTTCTCATCAAACGGAACCTCAAGACTACACCTTCCACTGTCATCTATCTTCTTTTCTTGGTGTGTCATGTTATCTTCTATATCTTTTTTTGTTGATATCCCATAGCGTGCATAATATCAAAACTGGCATCTGGCTCTGGATCTGAATTTGCCGCTAGCTTCATCTCAGTGTTCTTTGTCAACGATGGAGTATCCTGCCATCCCTCTCTTGACATAAATGATTCTTGTGAACGACTTATGAGTCCAGCAATTGTGCAGGGCTGTCTAGAGTGAATATGAGGCCCTAGATGGCTATATAGATATTTTGTTTAAATATTTTTTTCAACATAATAATATAAAAAAACATAATACACCCCCCTCCCTATATAAATGCACCCATTCATTTTCCACACATTTTAAGAAAGTGGATTGGTTGGCACTGTTTGGACACTATTTGGACACTATTTGACACTTTTGCATTTTTTTATTTACCAAAAAAGGTAAGAAGACTTTTATTTAGGGGCAGAGGGAGTATCAATTAAATAGAGTAAATTACATATGAAATGCATCATATACTATTAACACAATAAGAATATTCTTCTATAGCAAAGATTCAAAGTTGTCAAAAAATACTTCTTCACACTGATTCTGAAGCGTGACATTTGTAGTTTGTACCCTCGTTCTCAACAATATTTGACAGAGAAGGTTTTGTGGTTACGTACCGATCATCGATCCATAGAGTCGGCAAAAGATTTTATAACCAAATCCTTTCTTAATGCGTTCTTTCTCTTTGTATATCCTAAATCATGTTTTCATTTTCCCGTCAACATAAATCCTACTCTGTACAATTTTATAATAAAAATAATACTTAATACTAAATAAGTTAATGATGTTTAAATAAAAATTCAATCCACTATTTTAATTGCATATAAAAGATTATAAGTCTTCACTCTTCACTATATCAATCAAAATAAAAAATTACAATTTCAATATATCAAAGACACTTATAATATACCTTACATCCCCAAGTCCTACTGCCCAAATCAATTAGTAAAATTAATAAAAGACCTAAGACTAAAGCCGGCAATGCAGAGTGTGTTGACCCGTTATGTGAATTGGGGATTGCCGACTTGCCGTTGTGTGTCTGTTGGTTTGCTCTTGTTTTGCTCACGACCTGGTAAATTAATTGCTTGATTGTCTCAACAACTCAAGTCTCAAAAAGGTAAGTCTTATACCATTCTCTCAGCTTCGACCTTTGACCTTCGACCTTCCCCCTTCCTACTCGTCCAGCAGGGCCTTGTGCAAATTTTTCAGATTAGAAAATATACATAATACTATTGGGCTTATTTCAAAAATTAGAGGCCCCTAAAATTTTGGAGGCCCTAGACATTTGTCTAGGCTTGCTGCCCCTATAGCCGGCACTGCAATTGTGCCAGCTTCAGGTCCTCCTGTTACAGTATATCGCTCCTTCTTTTCCTCTTCCGGCAGTTTCTTGATTATTGATTCAGAGGACTTCGACTGGTTATTCTTTGTCGACTGGTAATAATCTTTCATATATTGAGAAACGGCTAGCGAAAGCACTTGCGAACATGAATATTCCTCTCTTGATTGCGTTTTATTCTAATGCGAATAGATCACGAATAAAGGTGCCTGCGGATTGAGGCCGGTTGTTACCGTTGGTTGCGAACTGAAAGGAACTGTTCGTGATTGTGAAATAGGAACGACAGTTCGCGATTTTGTTTGTGAACTTGTGAGCGATTGGGACGCACCTTGTTTGTCAGTTAGCGAAGAGCGATGAGAAGAGCTATGCGAAGAGCGATGCGAATGACTCCTCGATCAACCTGAAATTTTGTTCTGCAAATCTGCGATATTAGCTTGCATCGTCGCTTGCATAGCCGCTTGCATTGCGGCCATACTTTCCGCCAGATTCGCCGCCATATTATCTTGCATCTCTCTCAGATTTCTTTCCATACTTGCTTGCATCTCCCATTGACTCCTTTCCATTTCCGTCAGTCGACTTTCCATTTTCGCGCGCGTTACGGTCATCCAGCGATCAAACGCGCTCTGATACCACTGATAGAATAACTCCAGAAAACACATCACATCGATTACAGAGAAATGTAGAATAGAACCAAGCAAACTATCAAGCTTTATTAACGATGAACAGTATCAATGGCCGAAGCCCCCAAAAGAAAGAGACGACTAATCTCTAACTTTCCCAGTCAAACAACCTACTAAACCAACTCCCCTTTCCGTCTATTTATACTCCATATTTATTTATTTATTATTATTATTATTATCATCATCATTATTATTATTATTATTATTATTTCTATTTATTAGTCTAATGGTCTGATTCCTATCAGAATTGAAGGTCAAAAATCTAGAAAACCATGTTGGCTTTTGCTATGAAATCATATGATGGATCAATTACTTTCTTCGGATGAATATGTCAATTTTTTTGCTGCCAACAATCTCTAAAGCATTCATCTATTCCTATCTCAGTAGTTGCTAATTCAGGTACTTGAAGCGCATTTCATGTTTCCTCATCCTCGAAATGGGTTATTGGCTCAGGTGCCACATACCATATGACCATTAATCTTAATCTTTTCTCATCATTTCATTCATAGTTATCTACTTCTAGCGTCACTTTAGCTGAAGGGTATACTTCACCAATTCTTAGATCCGGTACTTTAGCGTCTCAACTTCTACATTATGATATATTAACGTCTAATATTTTAGTCACTCGTTTACGTGATTACTATACGTGAGTCCACACGTTCAACAATTATCCCATATGTTACTATTTGAGATATTAGGCCTCCAATACACTTGGGAGCAAAGCCTGTCTGGATTAAGATGTCTGTCTGGATTCAGCAATTCATCCATATATTGAATAAGGGATGTTTACTTCTTTTTCTATCGAGTCCTGTCTGGATTAAGATGTCTGTCTGGGTTAAAATGTCTGTCTGGATTAAGTGGTAATTGTATATGACAGTTTATTTTGTGTGCTAAATGAACAGTCTGAATTGAGTAAAATAATCAATTTATTATTATTTTTGAATTGTAATGTCAATGAGAAATTTCATTTATTAACGTAAATCTATTCCACAATTGATTTAAAAAAAATAACAGAAAAGACGTCTTGATAGACGTCTTAATGGGAAACACTACTATTTTCCAGCTTAATGATTAAGTCAATTTTTTTATTGAATAATTAAGTCACATTTTCAATTAAGTCGTAAGGAAACATCCTCTTACTCTGTGTCGTAGTAAGTCAATATATGTCATCTTTGACCCGTAGTCATTGTGCAACATATTTTATCATAACCATGATCACTTGAGAATAGAATGTTTTGCGAATGCTGATTGGTTCCGATCTAAAGATGATCGAAGATCTACATTTGGCTATTGCGTCTTTTTTAGTAATAACCTGGTATCTTGGAAGAGAGAAACATAATGCAATTCTCGTTCTAGTGCTGAATCGGAATATCGAGTTATGGCACAATTTGCATGTTAGATAACATGGATTAAGTCATTTATTGAGTGAAATTGGACTGACCAATGGCTGCTTAATCGTGGTGCGATAAGCAATCTTCTATACTCATTGCAAATAATTTAGTATTTCATAAGAGAACAAAACATATTGTTGTTGACTCATTTTATGCGAGAGAAGATACAAAAGGGATTGATTTCCACCGGATATGTGAAGACGGGAGAACAACTTTGGAGATTTATTCACTAAAGCACTAAATGGGATTCGATCTGTATATTTATATAATAGGTTGGGCATGATAATCATCTACGCTCCAACTTGTTGGCGAAGGCTAGGGCTCATGGAGTGCCCCTTTCAGTGCCGGAGGATCAAAGTGTTGACTAACTATTCCATTATCTTAATCTTTAACTCATGACTATTTTTATTTTAAATGATCCAATGATAGTTATTTTATAAAATACTCTTTCCGTCCCGAAAAGGTTCGTCAAATCGACTTTTCTTGGTCAATGACAATCAACTTTTATCAATGATATTTTTTAATACGAAATTCTTTTGAATATAAAAATTATATCAAAATGTTCCTTATTCAAAATAATTTCATAAAAGCATATATTGGGAATTTTGGTTAGCGCCAGTATGATTTCCATGCTCCAAGGGTATTTTTGTCCAATTACAAATAATAACTCCTATTTAGGGAGTTTTTAAACTTTATTCCTATTTTGGCAATTAAAGATTGATTTACTCCTATTTACGTAAATGCCCCTTATTTATTACAAACACTAATATGCTAAATGCATACTCCCTCCGTCCCAATTTGTTTTGCAAAATTTCCTTTTTGGATCGTCCCAAAATGATTTTCCACTTTCCCTTTTAGGTATAGAAATATCATTAAAGTGACAAGTTTGCCCTTGCTCCTACCTTCTAACCCGCCTTCCCACTCGCCTTCCCACCCTTCTCTCTTATCACTATCCCATCACTTTCACTGTACCCACCATCTCTCTCCCCATTTTCTCAATCAAAACAACAGTCTCTAAAATGGGCTCTTTCAAGTTTTCATGGCCAGATTCTTTTCGCTTTTCAAGATGAAGACGGACAAAAGAAGGGGGCTCCGGCTCGGTTCATCGGTTCCGGCTCAGGGAAGAATCAGCACCGGACCTCCCTTGCTTGGTCCATCAGCTCCGTCTCCGCCCTTCTCCTCGCCACCGCGCCGCCGGCAGACAACCTCGCAAATCAGTCGCCGTCGTTGAACCAGATACTTGTCGAATCGTTGAATCGACGGGAGAGGTTGCTGTCCGACAGAGACCGAACAGAAACATATGGGGACTCCTGATGTCCATTGGGCGTGTTGCAACATGTCCCTAGAACTTCGAGATTTTAAAGAATATGAGGGCTAATAATGTTCCTGTACCTATTTCTTGAATTTCCACAGTTGGAATCAAATGACGCTACAAGTAACCAAGGAAGGAAATGAGTATATCGGTCTCTTTCAAGAAAAGTGCAGCAAAGTAACTTAGAATAGTTCAGAAGAGTAGAAATGGAAGTAATTATGTAATGGTAAAATTGAAGTGTAAAAATTGGGCAGGGGCGAACTACTCTGTATTATCTTCCATTTTTGAAAACCAATTGGTTTTGTACTGATTCATCATTTCAGTGATTTGAATAGTACTCCGTATGTATGTACGAGTACTTGTTCGCACTTTTGCTTACTCTTAAATCTTAGGAGCAATATAAAGGGAAAAATGGTAAAGTTAACTTTTATCTCTACACTTCCTTAATTCCCGTGCCGGTCAAAATTTGCACCTCAATTCGGGACGGAGGGAGTATTAATTGTGAAAGTAAAAAGTGTGGATGAATTATTACTATTATGCAAATGTGACTCTGATGATTGGCTGCTGCTTCCAAATGTGTCACCTTGAGTTCCACCACGTAACACTTATTGACCTATGCGAAGGACAAAACCAGCGCGCTAAGCAATTTTGCTTGGTGTTCATTCTTTATCAATATAAAATTTGTCAGGGTTTATCAACATAAAAAGTAACAACGTAAATATGTAATTCCAAAGTAGCTTATAAATTCGGGCTTAAAAATACCACTTTTTTCATAGCTATTGTAGCTTTTTGATAAGTCAGAAAAGTAATAACACAATTTGTTCAAGGTAACCATTTCTTGTATTGTGGTGTCATCCGCAGGGGCCAAGCTAATCTTACTATATTCGAAATTTCCAGTTTATATACTTACATACAATTTATATTTCTAGTTCATTACATATATTTAGATGGGCCTATTTGTTAGCAGCTACATATTCACCATCTAGTAACTATATGTCGTAGCTACAGGTTCATGAGGTTCGTTAATTAGCAAGGGGGGAGGGGGGGGGGGGGGGGGGGTTCATCAGCTCTTAACCGTAACTTCATTTAAAAGATTTCATAAAAAGCTCTTCTTTTAATATGTTGTTCGGGTATATGCCAACCATATCCCTTAGAGAAATGGTTAAAGAACTAGAAGTAGAACCTTTTTAATTCTTAATATCATTGGAATGTGTTCTTTTAACACAGGTCATTGCATTTGTCTCATGGCCCTTGGGGCAATTGTTAAAGAACTAAAAGTTGCACTTCTTACATATCTCAATGCAATGTTTTAGGGACTAAAGTAGAAAGTTTTTAATTAAGAATTCTTAGAAATGTATGTTTTGCATCCCAACAAAAAACAATGCAATTTTTTATTCCTTCAGCAGTGCCGAAGGGGCTAAGGTGAGCATTTGCCTCATTGTATTTCTTCAAATGAGTAATTAATCTGAGTGCCAGAAATACAAGAGTATTTCTGGAGCCTCACATGTGAGTAGCGTGAGTGCATCTGAAGCATGCATCTGGTCCACTATATAATGATTGCTACCTTCTCTTGACCTTGAAACACTTTGAACTTGCAACCCCGTCCATTTCTTTTTCTTTCTTTGAACATTTCGCTGTGTGAGTAACTAATCTTGGTGAGCTCTAAAGAGGATCCATATATTGTTTTGATTTTGATCTGCAGGAGAAGTCTGAAATGGCTTCTAAAGAAGCTGAGACAGCCAAAGCGGCTTGGGTGTGTAGGATCTGCCTCAACAATGAAGTAGATGTTACTGTAGTGCCATGTGGTCATGTGCTTTGCCGAAGATGTTCATCTGCAGTTTCGAGGTGTCCATTCTGCAGATTGCAAGTCTCCAAGGTTATGAAAATATTCAGGCCCTGAATCAGCTTCATGGAAGAACTTGTGACTTGCAGTATGTTCACCTACACACAGGTCTAACTTAAAAAGTTATAAAAAGTTGCATACACATTTGCTCGTTAATGCCTAGTTATTTGATAGATAATTGGAATTCAAAAATCAACCTCCTGCATATCTTTTAGTTAAATCCTAAAGTGTAAAGTAATACAAATGTTATAACCAGTGGAATAATTTACTTTTACAGCATAATATATATTAATTCCGTCTCAAAATTAGAAGAAATAAATGTTGTAATTGTACTCCATATACCACCTAAAAAGGTGTTCCTCTGAGTATTTATAGTCTAGTGTGAATCTTTCTGGTTTGTCTAATCTCAATTCATCTAGTTTGGATCTTTCTAGTTTGGTACTCTGATATGGTCTGAATTTCTTTGGTACAGGCATAATGTTTTTTTGGAAATAAGACAGGAAACAAAGTTGAAAATAACACCATCTAATCTACAAAGTTAACAATATTAATAGAATATTATTAGGCATATTTGTTTCCTTGTATGTTTATAACTCTATTATTATAAATATACATGACAGGACTCCTATTGGAGTACCTTTCCCATTTATTCTCACATGGTATCACGAGACCAAAGAAAACCCTAATTTTCTTTTCCGATCCACGTCGCCGCCATGGCTTCCGAAATCCCTACCACGGCGCAGCCAACCTCTCCAACTACACCGCAGCCACCGCCGTTCTCCACGGCGGGCAAGCCGGGCATCAACACCTCGGCATCGGACTTCTCCTCCCCTGTTCACCATGCTGTCTCTCAGCCGCCAGCTCAGGTGGCGATCTCACGTCCGGTTGGACCGCCGACGACCGAATACATGGCAGCGTATCCGTTCCCGCCGTATACTGCGCCAATGCCATATTCCCTCTTCAACTCCTTGCCGCCGCAATTCCCATGGCAGCCGAGTCACCCTCTTCTGTCACCGGCCAGTCCACGCCAAACGCCGCCATCAACTTCTCCTTATTTTGGCCCTTCGTTTGCTGGTTTTCCAGGAGTTGTCCGACCCCAGAATGACAACCCTCTCTTCGGCTCTCCGATGGCAGCCATGGCGCAGGCTGTTTCTCATGGAATTGCAAACGTGGGCCAGATTGTTACCATCAAACTCAAAGCAGTTGAAGATTATCTTACATGACGCACTCAATTCGAATCATTCTTGGTGTCGCAGGGTCTTTTTGGTATGTTAGACGGCTCTATTCCGGTACCTCCCTTATACACTCTGGATTTTAATAATCATCAAATCGTTAATACTGACTATTATCATTGGCTTCGAGTAGATCAAACAATTCGTTCCTGGTTGTTTGCTACTTTATCTCGTGAAGTATTAATTGATGTTCATGATATTAAACATTCAGTGGGTATATGGGAGCGTTTGCAGTCACGCTTTATGTCTGACAGTCTACCTAGAGCTATGGAGCTTAAACGCTTATTATCTAATATAAAAAAGAAAACTAATCAATCCATGGACCACTATTTACGTGACATTAAAAATCTGGCTGATGCTTTAGCAGCAATTAATTCCCCCGTGACTGAGAAAGAATTATTACAAAGCACACTCCAGGGACTTGGCTCTGAGTATCAGTTTGTTACGGGTACTATTTCCTTGTTTCCCGAGAGCTTTCCATCCGACATCCTTCACCCGCGCCTCATGGAAGCTGAGCAGACTGTTTTGCATCAACAACAAGAATATTCTTCCCCTCACCAAGCTTTTGCTGCTCCTTTGGGGGCTGGCCAGTCAGGTCCTTCAGTGCCACGCGGCCGCGGTAGTCGCGGCAGAGGTGGGCAGAGGGCGCGGGGGTCGCGGCAGAGGCGACAGACACAGGCCACAACAGTACTACGCACCACCAGCTTCTCTGATGCACTCCAGCCAGTCCGGGCCGCGACCTGCAGGGGGTGCTCCTGCAGCAAGACCTCCTAATGATGCATCTGGTAAATCTGTTGTGTCCACTTTAAATATTAATGCTAATTATGCTTTTGGTACTCAAGGTTCTTCTGCAGGTTTCCCGTCTTCTGAGGGTATTCTCGGGTCTGTTCCATCCCCAATTGTGTGTTAAATTTGTTTCTCTGCAGGTCACTCTGCGCTGCATTGTCCGTCTCGTTTTTCACAAACTTCTGCACCTGCGTTGATTACTCCAAGTGGCGAATCCAATGATGTTTTGTGGTATCCGGACTCCGGTGTCTCTGCTCACATGACCTCTTCTGAAGGTATTCTGTCAAATAAATTCCCTTACTCAGGCTCCATGACTGTTAGTGTGGCCAATGGCACTAATTTACCTATTGCTAATATTGGGAATATTACTTTAAATACTTTCAGTCGCCCATTGTCATTGAAAAATGTTTTTTATGTGCCTCAAATTAAATTTAATTTAATTTCTATTCAAAAATTATGTACTAATAACAACTGTGTTGCTCTTTTTGATAAAAACTATTTTTTTGTTAAAGACAAACTTTCGGGGGTAGTTCTTCTTTAGGCGCGACATAATGGCCATCTCTACCCTATCAGTCTTACATCATCTACACCTTTAGCTCTTGACACAGTCACTTCTCCTGGCCCTATGTGACATCGTAGATTAGGACATTGTGATGAAACTATTTTGCGATTGTTGCATCGTAGAAAACTTATTTCTAGTTCTTCTAATTTTGAACATGATTGTGTTTCCTGTAGTTTGGGTAAATCTCAACGATGACCTTTTTGGGATGCTAGTCATACTTCTTCTTCCCCATTACAATTAATTCATTCTGATTTTTGGCAATCACCTGTGTTATCTAATTTAGGTTTTAAATATTATGTGTGTTTTATTGATGATTTTTCTCGATTTACTTGGATATATCCCCTGCGCAATAAAAGTGAAGTTTTTACTCAGTTTCGTCTATTTAAAGTTTTAGTTGAAAATATGTTTCATTCTAAAATTAAAATTTTTCAGAGTGATGGAGGGGGTGAATTTGTTAATAATAATATGCAGCATTTTTTTGACGAACATGGCATTTATTTTCAAAAATCTTGTCTACATACTCCACAACAAAACGGTGTTGCTGAATGCAAACATCGTCATCTCTTGGAATTTGCTAGAACTATGCTCATCACTGCCTCTATTCCTAGCACATTTTGGGTTGATGCTATTTTTACAGCTGCATATATTTTATTAATAGACTTCCTACTCCGTCACTTAATGGTGTTTCTCCCTACGATATTCTTTTTCATAAACCTCCAGACTATAGTTTTTTAAGAGTTTTTCGGTGTGCCTGTTACCCCAATTTTTCCGCCTCTCCCTCCAATAATTTTTCTCCACGTTCCATACAATGTGTTTTTCTTGGTTATGCATCTGGTTTTAAAGGCTATCGTTGTTTTGACTCTAAATCTGGTAAAGTTTTTATAAGTAGACATGGTCGCTTCCATGAAAATATTTTTCCTTTTGCCACATTGTCCTATTCTATGAATGCCTCTTCCTCGTCCTCCATTCCTCTGACCCCCGACGTCACTCTAACCCACACCATCTCCAAATCAATGTCCCTTCCCTACTCGCACAATAATACCCATTACCCCCCTTCAATATCCTAACCCTCTGCTCCAGCCGTGCTCGGCAATTCCAGCAATCCACCCCCTTCCCCTTCCCCAGCTGGCCACTACCCTTCCCCTTCCCCAGCTGAACATTGCCTTCTCCGACCTCACTGCCCTCCCCTATAACCGGTACTGGCTCTTCACCCTCTCCTTCCTCAACACCGCCTACCCCATCCCAACTGACTGCCTCACCCGAATCTCCCACCACCACGGCTTTCGTGCCTCAGTCGAATATTGATCCTGCCCCGATACGTAATATTCAACCGATGCAAACGAGGGTGAAGTCGGGAATTTTCAAACTGTTGTTTTATCAGTTGATCCTTCGTGTTTTTCTGAGGCTAATAAACATTTAATTTGGCGTGCGGCAATGGCTGAGAAATTTAATGCTCTTATTTCTAATAATACGTGGGATTTAGTGCCTTTTGATCATCATAAAAATGTTGTGGGCTCTAAGTGGATTTATAAGACGAAATATAGATCAGATGGTTCTATTGAGCACCACAAAGCGCGTTTGGTTGCTCAAGGTTTTAACCAACAGGCAGGTGTGGATTTTTCTGAAACTTTTAGTCCAGTTATTAAACCCACCACTGTTCGTATTGTACTTACATTAGTTGTTTCTTTTGGGTGGGTCATTCGTCAATTGGATGTCAAGAATGCCTTTTTACATGGTCACCTCACCGAGGAAGTTTATATGCGTCAGCCACGTGGTTTTGTTCATCCTTTATTTCCTTATCATTTGTGCAAATTGCGCAAAGCCATTTATGGCCTTAAGCAAGGCCCACGTGCATGGTTTCATCGTTTTAGTAGCTTCTTATTGTCTCATCATTTTACGTGCAGCAAGTCTGATAATTCTTTATTCATTTACCGCCAGAATAATAATGTCATTTATTTATTATTATATGTTGATGACATAATTCTTATTGGTAATTCTTCCGCTGTCATTACCTCCTTCATTCAACTTGTTGCTAAACATTTTGCTATGAAAGATCTTGGAGATCTTCACTATTTTTTGGGAGTCCAGGCTGTGCGTTCCTCTAACGGTTTGTTTCTTTCTCAACATAAATGTCTCTGATCTTCTTTCTCGTTTCCATCTCCACATTATTAAGTCTGTTCGCACTCCGCTTGCTACTCGTACTTCACTATCCCTTACTGATGGGGAACTTCTTGCAGATGCCACTGAGTATAGAAGTATGGTAGGTGCATTACAATATTTAACTTTGACACGACCTGATATTACCTATGTTGTGCATTTAGTGTCTCAATTTATGTATGCCCCTCGCACTACTCATCTGTTTGCAGTCAAGCGTATTTTTAGATACTTGCAGGGCACACTTGATCATGGACTATGGCTACAACCTACTTCTAGGGTCACATGCGTTATTGCTTATTCAGACGCGGATTGAGCAGGTTGCCCAGATACATCACGGTCCACGACTGGTTTTGCAGTGTTCATGGGGCTGTTGCATATACTGTTCAGAATACGTTGCATATTCGTTCCGTCCTTTTTGAGCTTGGCTTTCCTGTTACAGTACCGGTTCAGTATTTTGTGATAACATTTCTGCTTCCTATTTGACTGCTAATCCTGTTCAGCATGCTCGTAGCAAGCACATCCAGATAGACTATCACTTTGTCCAGGAACGTGTGGCACATGGAGACTTAGTCGTAAAGTACATCCCTACACAACTACAATTAGCTGATATTTTTACAAAGAGTCTTTCTAGTCAGCAATTTCATTTTTTAAAGGACAACATGCGCATTGAATCTCCCGCACAGTTTGAGGGGATGTAATAGAATATTATTAAGCATATTTGTTTCCTTGTATGTTTATAACTCTATTATTATAAATATACATGCCAGGACTCCTATTGGAGTACCTTTCCCATTTATTCTCACAAATATTGCGTTCAGAAATTGACCCATGTAAGAGCACAAACAATGTGAAATTTTAAAAGGGGTTTTCCCTTAGCATTATTAAATTAAGGAAAAATTGATTGTAATAATCCCAACTACTGGCGGTCCGCTTATAATAATCTCAATTATCGATTATCTCAGAATAATCTCAACTTTAGTGACCTTCCACCAATAATGGTCCGACATGACCGACATAAATAAATTCCTATAGTTTCTAAAGTGGATGAGAAGAGATATAACAAATAATCCCTACAAATAATTCATTTTTAATTTTTACGCTTTATTTCTTTTTAAAATTCACTTGTTATAACAGGTCATATCTGGTCATGGACCATTATTGGCGGAAGGTTACTAAAGTTGGGATTATTCTGAGATAATCGATACTTGAAATTATTATAAGCGGACCATTTATTATAAGCCAATAGTTGGGATTATTACAATCAATTTTTCCTTAAATTAAAGCTAATTTCCAAAAAAGTGGTCACATTTATATTTGGACAAAAATGTGACTGATGCACAACGTAGCTAATCTCAGCAGTGACATCTCCGCCAGTGCTGATCATAGTGACACCTAGGGATGGACTGGGCCGGGCCGAACCGGCCTGGAACAGGACCGGCCCGCTACTGTGCGGGCTCGGACCGGCCCGGGCCTGGTTGGCCGGTTCCGGGCTTTTAGCCCGTTTTGGCAGGTCGGGCGGGCCGGGCTCGGGCCCCATTTTTGTTGAACCGGTCAGGGCGGTTCGGGCCGGGCCTGGGCTTTTTTTCAATTGTTTTTGTTTTCCTTGGGTAGGACTGAGTGTTTTAGGGAGGTTTGGGGTCGGGGTGAGGGGGGGGGGGGTCGGGGTGAGGGGGGGGGGGGGTCGGGGGATAACAAGAAAGCCAAAAAAATAATAAACATTGAACCGGGCCCAGCCCGGCCCGGCCCGGTTAGGCCTGGACCCGGTATCAACCCGGGTCGGTTCCGGGCCCAAGTACATGGGAAAAAAGCCCGCCCGGGCCTGGCCCGGAACCGGACCGGCCCGAGTACTACTATAGTTATCTGAAGTTTATTAAGTATCTCATTCGAACCAAGTTGATTTGAAAAGTCAATATTTTTTTATCAATCAATGTTGATATTAAGTCCTCCCTAATGATAATTAATACTCCCTCCGGTTCTTATTAAAGTTCCCACTTTCCTTTTTGGGATGTCCCTTATTTAAGTTCACACTTCCATTTTAGGAAACAAAACAATGCAAAACAGTGCCAAACAGTGCCAAACAGTGTCCAAACAGTGCCAAACAGTGCCAAACAGTGCACTCCACAGTAAAGTCAAATTCATTTTCTTAATATGTGTGAAGTCAAACTGGGAACTTTAATACGAACCGGAGGGAGTACAATTTTTAATAATTAAAATTTACATATTTAGAAATCATAGTAAAATCTTTTTAAAGATGCTTTCCTTTTAGGGAGCTCATTAGCCAAGAACTCCAAAGTTAAGCGTGCTTGCACGGGAGTAGTCTTGGGATGGGTGACCCCTTGGGAAGTTTCTCAGGGCCCGCATGAGTGAGGACAAAGTGTGCTTTAAAGACTTGTGGTGGTTTGTGAGAATAGTAGGGTGTGTATGAGTAACTACCTCGGGTGAATAAAAAGAAACGGTTTCATCAAAAAAGGGTTGACTTTGCAAATCAATTTGGGACGAGGGTAGTATCAAATGTGAATATTGATAAATTGTGTGAACTTTTGAAGGATGGCTAAACTTAAATTTTTTTTACACTTGGAAAAAGTGACATTGTTTGGTATTGGTATGATATCAATACGGGTACGGCTTCGGAAAAATATTGGACCGGACCGGATCGGACCGCGCCCACCCCTAGTTGCCTGATGAATAATCGGATGAAGGCTATGTTTTGGGACGGGTGGAGGAGAGACTGAGTTGTGTTTAGTCAGATTTGGAGCTAGGGAGGGTGGCTGGGACAAGGGGTTGGGGTTTGGGGGGATGGCGAGGCGCAAGGGTAGTGGTGGTGACTGGTGGGGAGGAACCACAGGCTGTGATCAACCTCGCCGACGGCGGATTGACCGGTCGAAGTAGCCGTTGTCGCCGTTGAAGTTGTCATTGTGTCAGAGTCACTACGGAATTGTGACTGTGGCTCGCTTTTGATGGTTTTTCTAGCTTAAATGTGTCACAAGGCTCATAATTAGCTCAAGTCATAGTTTACCGGGTTTTGATTTGCATTTGGTGTTTTAGAATTAAAATCATGAAACTGGGCCTGACACCGGCGTTGGCGATTTAATCGGAAGGACTTGAGACACATTTGAGAGTTGTTGAGAAGCATTGAAGATCCACGATTCATTAAAGAAGTGATTTTGAAGTCAAGAGAGCTCAATGATCAAGTACGAGATCATACGAGAATGAATAAAGTTTAAAAACGGCGATCATGATGACGTTGTGTGGATCGTCAAACATATATCTTTTTGTAGAAACATTCAAAGTACACGATTCAAGTTTCATATGAAATATAACTTAAAGGGATACAATTACATGAAGACACCATGAAGAGAATGTGAGAGGATCAAGGTAAAAACAGACGAGGAAGTCAGATAATCACTGTTGAGATTTCAGGATGCGACATTCCTTCATTTTATTCATATCTTTTAATTGGATGATCCAATTTCATTTTTGTAAGTTTTGGTGGATATACAACTTCATTATCTACAACTTTGGTGAATGAATCATAGTCAAATTCGGACGGGAAAGATGCATGCCGTGTGCCTGAAGTACGCAAGTCGTGTGGGCGGAAGAAGAGAGAGAGAGAGATGGTGTAAATTTTACGGGATGCCGCACGGTCAGCCGCACGTTGTGCGGATGATTCCGCGGACCGAATTTCACACACTTTTCCCTGTCTTATATAAATTCAGCCCCGTTTTTGAATAGAGCTTAGAGAGAAATCCTATTACGAAATTTAAAGAGCTTTTCTGCCTTCATCAAGATTTTGGAATTCTTTGTAAGTTCCATCTTTTTAATTAATGACAATTAATTCTTTTTTTTTAATTGTATTGTTAATTCAATTATTAATTGTGAGTAGTTTTAATTAGGGATTTGAGATTGATGAAGGGGTTAATCATGATCTAGGGTTATTTTCTTAAGGGATTAATTGCATGATCATTATTTAATTTGTGTTTGTATGATTTAATTGATATCTCTTGTAACCTAAAACTGCAGCTAGGATTATAATTGCACATAGAATAAATTAAGAGAGACCTAATTTATTCTAGGACACTTTCACACACACCTAATAGTTCGTTAAGAGATTAGTAATGGTTAGGGAGTCGTACCCTCGCTCGTTTTGGCAATAATTTAGGAACTCGTCTCATGAGAGATCAACCTAGTCTACTAAATTATTGTACTCTACGTCGTGAGAGCGGTAAAACATTAGTATTGATTATCGTTGCTCAATTAAATAATTTTCATGTGATTAAGCCAGATCAACCAGAAATCTGATTACCCTGAAATCAATCCCTGTTCCCATATGCCATTAATTAGAAAGAACCCATTAGTTTAGTTGCTTTATTACATTAGTTAATTCTCCAAAAAATTCAAATCTCGCACAATTGCATTTATTTTATTTATTTTAATCGCTGAATTTGGTTAATTCCCGATTCTCTCTTTTTTGTCCTTGTGGAGACCATACTCGTACTAAATCCATATACTACCACACATATTTTAAGTGCGAGAGAACTCACATCATAGACCTTAGGGAAACCCTAGGCGCCGAGCTTCTCTACGATCTAATCTTCTGCAATCTTCTCTCAGATTGGTAAAAGTTATGATCATTACGATGTTCTCTACTTAGTAATGAATCAAAAGTTTTGTTATGATGTCTCTTTTTTATTTCTATCTTCTAGGGTTCTGATTATGGTCCGATATCTTCATTGGCCGAGAGTTATATCCGCTTCAGGTGAGCGTGTGTTATATTCTTCTTCTAGCAATGTCTAAAGGTTGTGTCTTCCTCGTCAGTGTGATTAGTCAAGCGGTTCATTATTCATGATTGACAAAACAGGTTCAACCTAGTTCTTCTGAAGTTTCAATTACTAGTCCTTCTCCTGAACCACCGCCTCACTTAAAGAAAAAGATAGCGCTCAGATGGATGTTCTTTTCGGTGGTTGGTTAAACTGATGATCCGGATAATTTCTGCTTAATTGATTTTTCCTTGGTTGGTTGCTGATCAGACCAATTCTCTCTTTCCGGTGGCTGGTGAAGTCGAGTCTTTTAGTTGTAATTTTTTATTTTTCTTTAGAGTAACAAAAAGAGCAGAAAGGCGGTTAGACTAAATTACAATATTGTGAGGTTAGCGGTTGGAAGGATTCATTGAATTTTTGCGTTCCATGTATCATCTCATGGTAGTTTTAGGCTATTCATTCTCTTATTTTTTTTGCTATATTTTAATGATATATTAGTTGATTGATTTTCAAAAAAAACGTAGTAATATAAAATAAAATAACATGAAAAAAGAAAAAGCTGCCCGAAGCAGCCCGGGAACGGCTGGGTACCTGGGACCCGTATTATCCATGTTGCTTCCGGGCCTCCCTCTTTTAGAATCAGGATCGGACCAGGCTCAAGTCCATCCCTAGTCGTAAGGGTGACACCCATGGCGGTCAGTAAGAAGCGTCTGGGATACCTCCCAAGCGTCCCCAAATGCTTGTTGAGAGATTGTTGTGGCCATATGTTCACCATGTAATCTCTACTATGTGCCTGATGCACCCCCTCGTGGGGACAACCGATGACCCTCTCCTCACTGCTAGGAAAATATGGGTTTAATGCACCAAACCCTCTCATGAAATATAAATTCGGCGCATTAGCCCTCTGTGATTTTAAAAATGCGTCAAACCCCCTGTGTTATAATCAATCATGCGCCAAACCCCCTCCAAGAACAAATTTAATTTCCAAAAAATGAAAAATGATTAGTGTTTTTGAATAATTTAGAAATTTTGACAAAGTTACTTGCATGTTCAATCATATTATTACAAAAAGTGATTTCAAAATTGTAAAATTTGTTCTTGAAGGGGGGTTTGCGCATGAATAATTGAAACACAAGGGGGTTTCACATGGAGCTAATGCGCCGAATTTATATTTCACGAGGGGGTTTAGCGCATTTAACCCAGGAAAATATAGGTGATGTTTGTTCTCTTACAAGCATCCTTTTTGGAGAAAAAACAAAAGTTCATTCGTTCAGACCATCAATATGCATACTTAAAAATTAAAATGATATAAAAAGGAGAAAATTATCCCAATCCCAAATAAAAAGGTAATAGTGTTATGAGAAGTTTGTTTTTAAAGGATAATATACCTCTCGAAGAGACTTTTTTTTCTGACAGTCTCTCGAAGAGACTTAAAACAAAAAACTAATGTAAAATGTGAGAAAGAAAGTAAATAGTTAATTAGGTTATGCAAACGTTTTTCTTTTGTTGAATAAAAACTAGGTCTCATTATAAAATTAAATCATTTGCCAATTTCAAGTGTTTAACGTTGATATAAGTGATTTGTTGTATCAATGTTCAAATTTGCTGTATCAATCATTTTCATTTTCATTTACCCCAGTGCCGCAAAGGCTCCCACCTACGGTGGGGTAAGGGGGGTCGGATGTACGCAGCCTTACCCCTGTACTAAAGCACAGAGAGACTTTTTCTGGATGACCCATAGTGAAAATCCCGTCCAAAATTGCATGGACTGACTGTTGCTTCATAACAAAGAAGCGCAGACAGTTTAGTGAGCCATTTTGCTTTATTCCATCATAATCTCAAATTTGCTGTATCAATAACAATCTTAATTCTTTGAGCGAGAATTACACATTCTGATATGATTTTTTATTGGTCTTCGAATCTTTTTTCTCATAAAGTTTAACAAAATTGATTTTGAGGAGTCATACAAAATTGATTTCTCATGGAGCATGGTTAATATAATTGTTTTGTGAACATTACAAAACGTAACAACTTTAGGTTTATAAGTTGAACCATAATATTGTATGGCTATGTGTCAGATCCTATGCTTGGCTTTAAGGCTTGGCACGGCACCTTGCCGCACCAGACTTTAAAGTGGGGCAGAGGATCTGCTTCCATACTGTATATGTACGTAAGATCTAGTCCATAAACTGTGAAGTGTTAGGACTTCAGACACTAAGGTTAGATGATTCTCAGGATGAATCAGAATGGTCTCCCACTGTTTCTCCTGTTGTTTCCATCATCTTTCATATTTGACAAAAGAACATATTACATGCTACAAGTTTCTGATATATAGAATGCAACAAATAAATTGGTTGCAAGTAAAAAAACAGCATGGTTTTTAGTAATTTAGGGCTGGTTTTTACTGTGCATGATTAGACATTCTCTTATAAAATTACTACTCTGACTATTTCATTACAATGTGGCGTAATAAAAGCAGCAGAAACATGTACATATATTTTTTAAAATAGAAACAAGGTGTAGCTATTGGTGAATCAAACAAACCAAGCTTGGGAGCATTGATGAGCAGCATTCACGGCGAAACTGTTGTGTTTTTGTTGTCCCCAACAACCCAGTACTGTTTGACAGCAAAAAGGACCTTTTCTTGGACTAGAGGGCCGTCCTCATGATCTACAAATTTCGTCTTCCACCTCATTCCTCTCACTGTTCTTCTCACCCTGGTTAGAACATTAACGTTGTCTCGCAAGATAACTGCACCATCTGGTCTTAGAATCCGGTCCATCTCTACTAAAATGTCCTCGGTGCTACACCTGGGTTAATGCACGTGCAACGGCGTTCAAAAACATGAACCACTTGAGATAGATTAGTTGGGTGCATCAATAGGAGTTTGTTCGTTTGCTGCTCCATCTAATTCTTAGCGTTAAACGATCTCACGTGACCAAATTGACACGCAAGATCTTGAGCTCCTCTTATAAAGGTGATTTTTAAGATGCAACTCAAATCTTAACATAATATCAAAGCTAACTAAACTTAAACAACAACCGGTTTGACTAAAGCTAAAAAATAGTCATCAATTTTTAGATTAGTCTGCTCCAACTAGCCAAGTTAACCATTAGCAATTGCATGCCGCTAAGTATGTCCTCCCCGTAAAACACAGAGTTCCTTAGAAAAAAATTATAATTGAGAAGTTCTAAGAGGCATAAATAAGTGAAAGAGTTCTCGAGAAAGAGAATTTTGGAAAGCTGACCTGTCCTTATATAAGCTGAAAATTCCATTGGCATGAATGAGATCATATGTTCTCGGGTAGGTGGAGAAAGCTTCGCACCTGTATGACGAAATGAAGAGCAGAAACATAAATAAAGCCGCTGAATGGCCCAAATGTGTGTAAAGAAAACAAAAGCAGAAGGATCTATGAATGCATGCCCCTGATGTTTCATAGAAGTTACCAGTCATGGAATATGCCAATCAATCCCCGTTCAAATATAATGCCAAGGTTTTCAATGTTGGCTATTGTGGGCATCACATTCATGATCCACAATTTGGGAGACTCAATTGCAGCGGCAAAACTCCCCAAACCAGCATTCATATCCATAATGTTGCGATACCTCCCGCTATCAAGGATTGTGTTAACTCTTTTATACCATTTTACGTGCTTTTGCCACAACTTGTTGTCCTCTATGAATGACTCAGCTGAGAGTCCAGGAATGGATCCACCACTGATTCTCGGAGGAACAGCATTCAGTCTCTCTGGAAATGGTTTGAGTTCCCCACTTTCATCCAAACTTGTAGACTCTGGGTAAGAAGTTGCACATGCTTCCATCTTCTTGTACCTATAATGGCGGTGAAGATATATGAGGACAATGTTGGGGACTTGGGGTGCAACTCAAGTCTCATGATTGAAGATTTATGTTTGCAAAAACTGTACCCAAATGCCTCAGTTTATAAGATAATGACAAGGATTTGGACGAACAACCATATGCATGGAAAGAGCAATGAGTTTCTCAAATATCCTCTTTTTGAATTTTTAATAATTAATCAAATCATCTTTGTGTAGGATTAATAAGCTGCCAATCACAGTCAATAAAAACGTACTTTAGCAATTCCATAATTCTTAGACAGTTTCACTCACTGTATTCACTGATATAAAATCAAGAAAAACCTTGTTTTTTCAAATGTGTGTGTGTGGGGGGGGGGGGGGGGGAGTTGATCAAAAACATATATTTCTGTAGATGTAGAGTTAGTTACCAAACATCATCTATTGCACCGGTGGTTGGTGTACACTTATTAACTACCCCAGAATCCTGTCCACAGTACTCTTTTTTTGTTGCTTTTCTCCATATAGCAATCTCATCAAGCTCATGCTTCTTTTCCCAGCACAGACTTTTTGCAATTGCTTCAATATTCCTTTGTTCCTCCTCCAAATCCTCCTTCGGACGTTTCCACGCTTGAAAGTTATTCCTCCAGTTGATTGGAGGACCTGAAAGTATCCAGTAACCTCCTGGTCTAAGAACTCTATCGATTTCCATCATATAGATCCCACCTGCGTAAACACGACTATGAAATAAAAATACCAAATTTACTATAAGTTTGAGTTAATTCGTTAATTTCAATCATCCAAAGATTTTTTTATTACCATTTGCACCCCATGGTATCAAGCACCGTGAACAATGAGCCATATCAAAGGCACCTGCAGGGTATGGTAGTTTTATGGTTCCAAGAACACCAATCACTGCTGGCACACCTCTTTCTAGTGCAAATTGTACCTGAGCTTCATGTGAGTCTCTTGGTGCAAATGACATGGCAATCACATTCTTCTCAAAAAGGTATGCACCCCAACTTGCAACCTGGAAAATGAATCAATTCCAACAAAGGTAATGTACATTAAGACTTAGGTTGCATCTTAGAAGTCTGAAGGTAGTCACCCCCGATTTTTTGAAAATACATAGTTGATTCATACACGTTGTATGTATTTTTCTAGTAAGTTTCATTTTTTACACACTGTTCGCAATACTTAATGCATGGGGATATATAATACTCCCTCCTGAAAGTACATTTTCTTAGAATAGACTTGTTTTTTATAAGCTTTTTTATAGTTTAACTAAATTTATCATATTAGGCTCGTTTTTAATCTTGTTTTTTTCAAAATCCTTCAAAAATTATCTTAATTCTCTAAACAGGTTCTTCTTTTTATATGTAAAAACTTCTTAATGATAATCTTTTTATTTGATGTAAGAAATGCTAGTAATGGTTAACTGGAAAATCAACTTTCAACCAATAAATATAAAGCTTGGCTATTCTCTCCTTATATGTGAGTTCTTTATCTTTACCTGGCAAAATTGCAATCTAGAAGAGACTAACAAGTAACAACAAAGTCCAGATAGGCCGAGAGGTATGCATGTAATTAGTAAGATCAAAGTCTTTAACTCACCCCACATCCTGTATCTAATGCGGTTCTGACAACACCATTGTCGATCGGAATCACAGAAGCAAGTTGTTTGATATAAGCATCTGCACCTTGGGGAAACTGCGTCCCACCACCAGGAAACCTGAATACATTACCTTCATACTGAACCCAGTTTTGCACCGCCTTCTCCACTGTCAAACTCTTATGAGGTGCATTTGCAAAAGGAACATAGTCACGGCTCTTTGGCCATGGGAAGGGTGTCACATATCCTTTTGGTGCAGGAACAAGACAGCGCAGTTTCTCTTCATCCGGAGGACAGTGCCTCTCCCTATACATCATATTCTCCCGAGGAAAAGTCATTGCACGCAACTGATCATGACAAGGAGTGTAATCAATGTACATTTCATCACAAGCCTCGAATTGCTTCACTTCTTCCTCAGCACCTACAGTTTGCTGGTGAGTTTGGATTTCCAGATTGGGAAGCACATTGCAATCCTCTGCCTTCTTTGTTATCTCAAGAGCTATACTGTCGCCCTTTCCAAAACCACTTCTTTGCCACACTGCCAAAAGATAAAAGAAACAACATAGGCCTGCCACAACAAATATTGAAGCCGAGCTTTTCCCTCTATTGTCTCCTGGATTTCCTTTTGTTACCATGATGACTACTAACCTGTAACTTCTCTTTTCAGACTACTCCTACAATCACAGAGTATAGCAAATAACCAATGCTGATTTGCCTCCTTATCTATTGCCTTTCCTATTGCATCCACTTAAGATTCAAGTCCTATGATAACTTTCATCTGCCGGGTTTAACATCAACAGAGAAAGCATACAATTGCTCATTCAATTCTACAACTTCTAGGGCATGCCATACATTAAATAAAATTTGTCTATGAAATATCAATCCCAAACAAATTGGGACCACAAAGCCAACAGTTTGATGCGAACTAATTTACCCCAAGCCAATGGTTCATGATCCAACTTGAATAAATTCAGTAATCTATTACTTCTTCCGCATAAATAAAATATAAAAAAGAAAGGAAGCAATCAGAAATGAACTAAGCATGTCATTGAATAAATCAGAACTATTAACAATTCATTAATGAAAGAGGAAAAAGGAATCTCACAGATCGTTGTGTCTTTCAATGGATACGACAATACGAGGTTTTCCCCATTAGGAATGAGAAGAGAAAAATATGAAACAGAAATTGCTTCGAAAAGAAAACTTAAGTTAGGCCTCTCTGTTGGGAAGGGAAAAAAAAGGCTATTGGGGCGCTGCAGTTAGTTCTTTTGTGGCGGGGAAACCAGGGAGAAAACCGGTCTTGCAGTTAAATTAGATAGGTACCATTGACATTTTTAAGGAAAGTTAATTTGGAGAGTAAAATATTTTGAAATTTCAAAACATAATCAAAATATGAGTATTGTATCTTTATTTATTAGATAAATTTTTTATTGTCAAGTTTAGAAAATAGTTTTATGTTTAAAATCTGTTAACGTCAAAACTTGAAATTATTTACTCAAATTTAAAAAATAAAAATATAATAATCTTATTTTGAAATTTACAAACATTTACGTAGTATGTTTTTATTTAAGGTAACTCTATTTATTTAAAATAATAAGTACCATATTGTAGTAGATCATACTATCATAGGGATGTGAAAAAGTTCTACCGTCTTATCTGATTCAGTAAATAATGAAATTCTCTTAATTTTCCTTTATAATCAACTCACCCTAATTGTAGATAATTTATTATTCCATATTATTTCCTTGCATTATTAACACACATGTAATATATTTTAGGGAATTTTTTTGAAGTAAGGGTAAAAACATTTTAGAATTTCAAAATATTACTGTCATTTTTTATTTCTTAAATAGAAGTAATTGATATCAGTTAATTTGAAAAATATTGTTATGTTGAAAGTATAGTAGTACTCCGTATTAAAATATGACATAATTATTCCTATTTAGAGAATAAAAATATAACAGATCTATTATGAAATTTATAAATGTTTTTACTTCTATATATGTAGGACAATTTGTTTATATTTTATTAAAATAAAACGTAAAATTAATTTTTTTTTACAAACATTGATGTGTGTGTGTGTGTCTAAATTTGGCTGAAGATGTTATTCCTATGAATATAATATTCTTAATTTCTTTTGGTGACGTGATGTTACCTAGGATTTAAGAAAGACAACCCCCTTTAGAAATAAAAATTTCCATCAGCTTGTTGTGATTGAATTAGACTTCGAGTTCATCTCAACTCTTTCTTTTTAATGTGCATTCTTTAATTTTAATAATAATTTGATTAAAAGAATCTGCTTAGGATGATGGCCAATATATATGTAAATGCTAGCTCTCATAAAAATCATATATATATAATGAATCAGTTTAGTAGTTTTTTCTCTTAAAGCATGTTTATAAGTTTTTTGGTGTATACTGTTTTGAATGTTTTATTATTTGTGTATTTACTTTCTTTTAACTTCAAAAGTAATTAATTTTTAATGTAATATTTGAACTTGTTTGCATTCATTTAATTGCACCTATAACATTATTTGCAATTGATTTAGATTTTGCATTTTTTAAATTACTTTACGGTAAATATTTTGAACACTATTATTGTTTTAATGCAAAAATTATATCAAAAACTAACGAGTAGGTTCCGAAATAATAAATATTATACTCCGTATAATCATAGCACTTATAACTGAGGACATGAGTTCTTTTCTCAATTTTTTGATTGTTCACATGAATACACCATTGGAGACTTACCCCGACTTCGTTAATGTATGTATGTCATATAACGGTGCCCCCAATAACAAACTTTTCTGTATCCGCCACTTCACACAACTAATGTAAATAATAAATTATGTAATGTTTCAAGATGATGAGTTGTCAGTACTCCATCCATCACAAAATCGCTTTCAAGCATTATAATCCACGATAACTCTATTAGTAATATCTAGGTCTTTATTTCTTAATTCTTTGAGTTCTCTAACCAAAAATTATCATTTGTTAAGGAAATAATTATATTTAAAATAACTTTGAACTATATAATTATATTTTGTGAATTTAAATGCCAAAACTAATTGAAAATTTCAATTTCGGCGTGAGGGGTTAAATTGACTAATAGTCAAGGACCATTTTGGGAGGAAATTGTTATTCAAATTATCATAACTAAATCGATATCAAGCAAAGACCCTGATGGAGTCTACCATAGTAACATGTCCAATGAAGGGATTCGATATTAAAACCGCACGACACGGCGGCACTGGTAGCTCAGTTGGTCGAGTTGTCGGAAAATTGGAAGAATGACCAATGATCGAAACCTGCAACGGCTGTGTGGAGGTTTCGGTTCTTGCGTGTTGGGCTGGACCTCTGATGCGCACAAGTACAAGGTCTGTCACCATTGGGTCGATTGAGTTACCGTGACTTACAATATTCCAAAAGTTTTGTCAGATCACTTAGAGTTGGAGATTCAATCTTTTGGAAGAAGGGACTACATATTCAAATGCATCATTTGAGGGACTAAATCTCCAAAGATTTCATTAGATGTTCCAAAAGGTGGGGTCACCTATGCTTTTATCCCCAAATATCCGGCCAGGAAATGTAGAATTGACTCCTCGAAGGACGAGCTCCACCGTATCCAAATCATTAACTAGGAGTTTTCAAGGTCAACCCTTTATTACCAAAATACTTGTTGTCTCGTTGACTTTCTAACGAATGAGCTATTTTAAAATTTTAACACTCGTGTGCATGTTGATGTCCCTTTGTGATAATTATGGAAGAAAAATCTCTTTAGGAGAATTGAAACATAAATAAAGTGTATAAATATGATCATTTTCATTTTCATTTACTTCAGTGCCGCAAAGGCTCCCTCCTACGGTGGGGTAGGGGGGTTGGATGTACGCAGTCTTATCCATGTACTAAAGCACAAAGAGACTGTTTCCGGATGACCCATAGTGAAAATCCCGTCCAAAATTGCATGGACTGACTGCTGCTTCATAACAAAGAAGCACAAACAGTTTATTGAGCCATTTTGCTTTATTCCATCATAATCTCAAGCTAAGCCAAAAACTAATGAATCTTTGGTTCCATTGCAAATGATGGAAAAAAGATGTATAAATATGATAACTCATATTTTAAAAATAAAATATAATTACTCATATTTGTACACTTTGCTTGTTTTTTACATCTATTTGGAGAAATTTCTTAATTAACTGCTTGGAGGTTCATTACCCGACAAATGAGTCTAAGTAGCAATTTTCATATGCAAATGAATTATTTGTTCATATAAAATAAATTCCAGAAAAAACACAATTACAACACAACGAAAAATTACCCTTCTTTAAAAAGAAATCGAGCAATTTGCCCTTCACCTCATAAATTCAACATAGATATGATTACTCATCACAAGGTTAGAATATATGTCATTATGTCACCAAATTAACAATTTAAATTTCTAATTTATTTTATTTATAAAACATAGTTTTTGCTAATTTATTTTTTGATACTATGATAATTATAAAACTCAAAAGTGCAAAATATTTATTGGTAATTTTCAAAACAGTTATCAACCCTAAGTTTGACTCGAATATTCGGAGATGTCATGGTTGCTATCAATGACTGTTGATAACAATGATTGATATTGACATAATAAATTGATAATGACATAAAACAAATTGTTAATAACATGTTATATTAAACTGCTAATATAATGACATTCATAATTTTTTAAACTGTTGTAATATCATATTAATAAGTCCATGAGGGCCATATAAGTTTTATTATTTATATTTATACACTTCCTAACTTAAATATTTAAAGTACTTAACATTAACCGCTCAAGCAGTCAAGCTACATAATAAATTTAACAAAAAACTGTGTGTACACACATTAGTACTCACTTTTGTACTCACCCCCTATTTTGCCTGTGCACACGGGCAATTCATTAACAATAAGGCAGTATTTTATCTGTGTTTGTCTGTATACACACACAAAATAAGGGGTTGGGTACAAAAGTGAGTACTAATGTGTGTACAACAAGAAAGACTCTAAATTTAACCCTAACATTGACAAAGATTCCTCACCCATGCCAAGAAGGGGGACTATCAAACCCAAAACTTCCACGTTAGAGACAGAGACAGATTTTAGAAGAAGCCAGGAGCAAGATCAGTACTAGTTCCCATTCATATTGCCTCCAACTATTGCACTTAGAGAATACGGGTCACAAAAAAACATATAAGTCTTGACATGTTCACAGTTGTAGGACACACATAGGACTGCGGTCGTGTGGTGTGGCCTCGATGTGCAAGTTGATAGGTGTCAAGAGCACCTCTGTAGTTTCTTCCACGTGCAGGTGGACAATAGAGTGTTATCGTATGTTAGAGCATCGATTTTTTTTGTGTTCACAGATTGATGTCTTCTGTCCCACTTGATAGAGCTCTACTCACTGCTCTTCTTGAGCATTGGAGGCATGAGACACACATTTCATCTTCCAGTTGGTGAGGACAATGACCTTGGGGGATGTGACTATATTGACTGGCTTACAGGTCCAGGGGAGAGCAGTTACAGGTACTGCATGTCGACCATGGGTTGAGGATGTGGAGCGATTGGTGGGTGTTCGCCCCCTTCTCCGGACAGACATGCATGGGTCATCTCTAAAGATGTCATGGCTGAGGGAGCATTTCGTTGTTCTGCCTCCGGAGATAGAGGATGCGATGATTCAATAGCATGCACGGACATACATTTTGATGCTGATGGGAGCTTCCATTTTTGCTGACAAAAGTGGAAATGAGGTTCAGGTGCTGCACTTTCCAATGCTAGAGAGATTTGATGTCACCGCATACTTCAATTGGGGTAGTGTCACTCTAGCTTATCAGAGTGTCGAGGTTGTCAGAGTGGGGGCACAGAGGTTTTTTTTCTTTTATTACAGATTTGGTCATGAGAGTACATTCACATTGGGCGCCCCATTATAGTACGATATCATGGACTAGATGGACACCCACTTCATGACCAGCCTTCACGTCTCCTTGGACCACATCATTGACGGGGCGAGAACCCTCTGGGGCGTCGGTATGTTTTAGAAGTATATTTATGTTATTGTATGTTCTGAATAATTATATTGATTATATTTATATTAATATATATACTACATGAACGGTTAGATGGCTATTTGCTAATCTTTGTCGCACATCATCGACTTCTGGGCTCGGTTTCTATTGGGATGCATTTGATCGCATGTCTGATGATCACATTTGGTGTACATAATATAACATTAACTATCATATGAATA